TGTGTTGAGTACTTTTGTGGTTTTTGTCCTTATATTCATGTCTTAGGCTGTTAGAGGATTTACAGAGTAAGAATTTCATTGTATAGTGTAACAGAGTGTTTCCTGAACATATGACAATAAACTCTTGAATCTTGAATTCTTTAACGCATTTGAATTATAGAAATGTGATAGTGTATTATGTGTATGCCAGGTTAAAGAGATGGGTCTTTAATCTAGATTTAAAATGACAGAGTGTGTCTGCCTCCCAAACAACGATAGGTAGATTTTGATATTCTAGGTATTATCAAATGGAGTTTTGAAATCGCAGCAGACGTGAAGGACAGTAATGCAATATGAGCTCACTCAAGTATTGAGGAGCTAAACCATTCAGGGCTTTATAAGTAATTAGCAAGATTTTACAATTTATTCATTGTTCAATAGGGAGCCAGTGCAGTGTTGACAGAAGCGGGCTAAAATGGTCATACTTCCTTGTTCTAATAAGAACTCTAGCTGCTGCATTTTGAACCAGCTGGAGTTTGTTTATTAACCACCCAATAAAGCACTACAATAGTCTAACCTTGACGTCATGAATGCATGAATTAACATTTCTACAGTTGACATTGAGAGCATTTTGTTTTAGAGATATTTTTAAGATGGGAAAAATGCGGTTTTACAAATGCTAGAAACATGGCTTACAAAGGAAAGATTGCTATGAAATAGCACACAGGTTCCTAAATGATGACGAAGAATTGACAGAGCAGCCATCGAGTAGGTTATTACATGCAGAGGATTTTGGTCCAATAATTAACACCTGTTTTTTCAGAATTTAGCAGGAGGAAATTACTAGTCATCCAATTTTTTTTATATCAACTATGCATTCTGTTAGTTTTGTAAATTGGTATGTTTCATCAGGCCACGACGAAATATAGAGCTGAGTATCATCAGCATAATAGTGAAAGCTAACACCATGTTTCCTGATGATATCTTTCAGGGGTAACATGTAGAGGGTAAAAAGCAAAGGTCCTAGTACTGAGCCTTGTGGAACTCCATACTGTACTTGTGATCGATATGATACCTCTTAATTTACTGCTACGAATTGATGATGGTTAGATAAGTACGATTTGAACCATGCCATTTGAACACATTATCTACAACAAGTGATGGGAGAAACCAACCTTTTCCAAGCTTCGAATCAATTAAACCATTTCCTCTTCGCCGCGGGGACCCTCAAGCGCGAGGCCCGGTGAGGCTGCACCGGTTGCAACCTAAGGACGGCCCTGGTCAGAAAAGTGTAAATGCAATAAAAACTCAGGCCAAAACATGCATAAAACAGCTTTTACAAAATTGCAAATGTTTTAATTAAAGTATAATATTAAATGCAATTAACAAATAATCAAATACCATTAAATATGAAGTGTCTGTATACTGTAATACGTGTTTTTTCAGCACTTTTACTGAAATTACATGACTTTGACAGTTTGATAGTGCGCCAACACACTGGTTTGAAAAAAATGATTTGCAAAGGTTTTGAAGCTGCTCAAAGCAGTGCTTTAAAGGCACACAACATTAACAACAGCCCAGAACACCCTAGCAACTGCATGGCAGCATCCTAGCAAACACCATCAACCCCCTTTGATTGTGCTGGTGACCTTTGCACAGGAAAAGATCTAGTTATTTTATTTCAAGATCAGGAAACATGGCATAATTCTGCATAGAAATTAAACAAAAATATCTTGAATTATATTTTGGCATTTAATGATGTGCTGTTGACTTCATTATTCATGCAGAGAGAGAGCGGGAGAGGCACAAGAGAAGGAGTCGCAGTAGCTCTGCTGGCCACAGTAAGAAACGGCGCAGCTGGAGCAAAGACAGAAGCAGTCGCAGCAGAGGAAAGCGCAGCCGCAGTCGAGAGCGTAAGAGCCGAGACCACAGGAGCAGCTCTAGAGATCATAAGAAACACAGGTGACTGTAGACAACACACAACAACAGACTGCCATCGTCCATCACAACACTTACTTATTCTTACACCCTTACTGTCTCTGTTGTTTGTTGCCTGAAAAATGTATAAAAGCATCTGCTGTTGAAGAAGTTTGAAGCATCTTCTCCAGCCTCTGATTTTTTTCTCAGCTATTCTCCACGTCGAACAAGGAAGAAAAAGATGTGCAAATATTGGGACGTTCCCCCTCCAGGCTTTGAGCACATAACTCCAATGCAGTACAAAGCCATGCAAGGTGAAGTATGAGTAATTCAATATCACAGTAACAGTCTTGATCATCCTTCTAAGTTGCACACACACACGTGCATTTTTGATCACACAAACAAACAGAAAAATGGGTGGGAAAAAACTGATACGTTTACAATTATATAAACTTAAAATCAGTTCAGATAGATTTTCTTTGTGTGTGTACACATTTTAAGGGTTGTTTAAATGGCTATAAAAGAATTCACGTTTCTTGAAAGTATTTAATATATCTCAGTCTACCACTTTAGTTTGTTTTCAAGTATTATTTTAAGACTAACTGAACTGCTCTGCTAGAGATTTTAAAATAGAATTTCTTGGTAAAATTGCACAGTTAAAACGGGTAAAAACATTTACATTCATTCCTTTAAAGGTCACATATTTTACACCTTTCTGGAGTAAGAATATATATTTGCGGTATAAGTATCAAAAACCATCTCAATATATTTTTACAGCTGCTCTCTCAGGAGCTCTGCAAAGAACAGTTCGATTTTGGCCTGTCTAATTAATATTCATGAGCCTCTCTTCTGATTGGCCTGTTGTTTTCTGAGTGACGCACGGCCAGGCCAACCAGGGACATGTATGCTGTAGCCTGCTGTGGATTGGTGATACTCACAAGTAAGGTCAATAGAAACACCGGTAATGATGGTCACTGCTGAGGGAAATGTTGTCCGGCCTTACATATTTGAGCCGAACTCAGACCCCGAATCGGCGACGACAGGAGACAACCAACCACCTCCTCAAACGCGCTTACAACAGGATGTTTCAGAATGGTAATTCATGTTTTTTTTTTTTTTCAAACACCGAATGCAGTAAATACAAACCTGACCAGCCGAGCGTTTGCGATCACGTGAACTTGAAGACACTTGTACAAATGCGGATGGGTGACTTGAATGGAAATGATTCCAGATTGGCGATGTAGTATTTGGTTTCTGTATTCTGTACTGTATTTTCCTGTGCTCAAACCTGCCAATCTAAAGGATCAAATGGCATTTATGGCGTTTGAGGTGATTTGTGAATTAGCATAGACTTATAGTCTAAATAAAACAATTTGCAACTGTTACTATTATTACACTTGTTATAGAGTGTTGGCGAACGTCACAGCCCTACTGTGCAATGATGTAGTTTCCTGACATCAGACTGAACAGCATTTTCTCGACATGTTTCCGTGTTGTTGTTGCTCAGCAATGGCATGGATGGACGCGATGTTGTCTGGGAGTTTGGCAAAAGGAGAGTGGGACAGTGGGCAGTGCTCGGGGTGGTGACTGAAGGCAGTGACTGAGTAGTTCTGACGTCACCTTTTTACGGAAGTCACAACGGTTCGTGAAAAATCACAGCTACTTTATGCAGGCTGTGTGCATTCGACTGGATTGACTGTTTTGAAACTTATATGGTAGTTACATAACACCTAGACCTCAGTTATAATAAAAAAGCCAGGAAATTTCAGTTTTGACAATATGGGACCTTTAAAAGTATGAACATTGTTAAATATGGCTAGCTGTGGAGCAAGCAATATTCAGTTAAATAAAATGTATGAGATTGAAACATTGGACTTATTGATGATTAATATATAAACCTGGTTATTGTGTGTTTAAAACGCATTCAATTTATTAGTACTATTACAGAAGTCTTTCTTGTTTATTTACGTGTGACTGACAGATATGCGTCACATTAAGTTTTTTTGTTTATGTTAAAGCGGTATAATTAAAATGGATGGAAATTTTATATGCAATTCAAATAAATACACCAAATTTTGGCCTAAATATTTGTGTAAATAATTAAATAGTTCATCCATCCATCCAAATAATTGTCTTTTTTTTTTTTTGGTGAACTATTCATTCATTTGTTGTGTTTGGGCTGTAGCTGCTGGGCAGATCCCCAGCATTGCTCTACTGGCTACATCCACTAATGCTGGTTTGGCAGTCGCTCCCACACAGGTGCCCATCGTTGGCAGTCAGATGACCAGGCAAGCGCGGCGTCTGTATGTTGGTAACATCCCATTCGGCGTCACTGAGGTAAGTGTCCCAGAATAGTGTTCCTCAAAACATGTTGTTTGTACAGCTCAGTTCTCATCCTCTTGTGCATGATAAATCAGCTATTTCATCTGAAAGGTAGCGATGAAAACACCAATTTTTTTTTTCTTTTCCAGATATGAGTTGTAATAACTAACATACTTTGCCTTTATGTACTACAGAAGTACTATTTGTCTTGATGCAAAGAGTTGTGTCAAATGTTTCTCCATATACTACTATGATAATGAAAGACATTTCTCTGGGAATGCACTGTCTTTGTCTTTGTGTCTTAGGAGTCCATGGCTGAATTCTTCAATACCCAGATGAGACTTGCAGGGCTGTCTCAAGCTCCAAGCAGTCCTGTGCTCGCAGTGCAGATCAACCAGGACAAGAACTTTGCTTTCTTAGAGGTGAGAGACCGATTTCACTCACTTAATGCAACCTAAAACTCATCTGACAAAAACAGACTGCACCTGTTTCTATGCATAACAGCCTGCGACTCAGCAAATGACAAAGAATAAAGGAATATATTACTGTGTAATGACAATAATAAAGGTAGACTTTAATATTAGCAAAGTCTCATGAATTTCCAGTGTAAATTGGTCCATAGGAATCCATTTTTTTACTTAAAAGTTTTGTTTGCAATCTCTTTTGCATAGCAAATAACTAATGTAATCAGTAGGCCTACTGGCATGAAAATATCTTTCCAAATCGTTGTTCTAGACATTTCCATACTGTGCTTTTGAAAACACTTGATAGCATTGGAAGACAACTAAAGCTTTATGAAATCTTCTGAAAAGAGGTTCAAAGCCGCCACTGAGAGACGTTTTGGTGATGCACAGGAAAACATTTCCATTTAATGAGGCTGGGATACTCAGAGCTACTCCTGACTGAAGCTGACTGTCTGTCTGCCTTCCCCAGTTTCGATCAGTGGATGAAACCACTCAGGCCATGGCATTTGACGGCATTATCTTTCAAGGACAGTCGCTGAAGATCAGACGTCCACATGACTACCGCCCTCTGCCCGGCATCTCTGAGCAGCCTGCTTTTCATGTCCCAGGTCAAGACTCTTGTCACATTCTGCTTTTTATATGTCTGTTTTAGATCACTTGAGTATTAAACCTTATAGAACTTTCAAAAGTGCTCTGACTTTTTTTTAAAGGGTTAGTTCACCCAAAAATGAAAATTAGCCCATAAATTACTCACCCTCAAGGCATCCTAGGTGTATATGACTTTCTTCTTTCAGACGAATCCAATCGGAGTTATTTTAAAAATGGTCTTTGATCTTTCAAGCTGTTTAATGGCACTCATCGGGTGTTGCATGCATCAGTCCAAAAGAAGTTAAATAAAAAGCGCCCATCCATAAAAAAAATGTCTCACACAGTTCTGGGCGGATGACGTATGAGGTCAGCGCTGCGCATGCGCCGGTGAGTCTCGTGAAAACCAACGTTTGTTAACAGGATCAAAGGAAGCAAAGTTTCCTTACTTTAGCAAAGGAAAACCAGTCTCCTCTTGGCTTATATCGAAATCCTCCGACATTCTTCTTTACAAATCCTTGTTTTGTACTTCTAATTAGTGACTGTTGTTTTGTTTTGATCTCTCCGCTGCGCTTCCGCGTTCGTCACTTCTGAGCAGCGCATGCGCATAGCCGACCTCATACGTCATCCACCCGGAGCTGCTTCCGTTTACAACAGTGAGCGCAAGCTAGATTAAAGTGATTATTACATTTTAAATATGGATATTTTTCTTACAAAAACGCATCGATTCGCTACAGAAGGCCTTTGTTCACCCTCCCGGAGCCGTGTGAGACATTTTATTAAGGATGGGTGCTTTTTATTTAACTTCTTTTGGACGGATGCATGCAACACCCGCTGAGTGCCATTAAACAGCTTGAAAGATCAAAGACAATTTTTTATATAACTCCGACTGGATTCGTCTGAAAGAAGAAAGTCATATACACCTAGGATGACTTGAAGGTGAGTAATTTATGGGCTAATTTTCATTTTTGGGTGAACTAACTCTTCAAGTCTGCATTTTATACACCACCAGCAACATTGACTCGATGTGTAAGTTTGGGGTGGGATCACCTGCCTGTGTAACTTATAAATAATGAATGTAGTTATTTTATTTATTTATTTATGTTTTTTAGAGGGCATTAAAATCCTGATGTCTTTTGTTTTCAGGTGTCGTGTCCACAGTTGTACCAGACTCCCATCATAAACTCTTCATTGGAGGTCTGCCAAATTATCTCAATGATGATCAGGTACGATTATACTTGCTTATCAAGGAGTGAATCAATTATTAAGACAAATTTACAGCTAACTATTTGTGTTTTAGAGCACATTACATGTATCAATAATTTTCCATGTGCCTTACATTTTTAGTCACAAATCTCACCTTAACCAACGATATCCTGATGTACTAAACATAAACAGGTTGGAAGTAACAAATATTTAAAAAACAAGTTTTTTCCTAAACATTGTATCATCAAGACATGCATCATTCATCACCTTTTACATTACTGTAAATATACCGAGACCTATGGTCTGTGGTTGTCTACACTATAACAAAGAGTAACCTATTTTCATGCTGCCCATTCAAAATTGTGTTTGTCAGTACGTCTAATTTTTTGTGTGGAAATAGTACATATTACTTTACTGACATACAGACAGCCTGTAGCTGAAATCCCTCTAGTCTAACTCGTCATCAGCCATGACACTTTTTCAATCTACTGTAATTGTTAGTTCATTTGTAATTTTTACATTTTAAGACAACATTGAAAGATACGTGTTAACATTTAGGCTACATTCACACTACAAGCAAATGTGCCTAATTTAAAATTTATGCTAAAATCCATTCCAAATTGTTGACTATAACACAAGTATACCCATATGCCAAGTTATTCTAAGGTTGTAACGATTTTTCGTTCACTTTGGCCCAGTTTTTATTGTTAAATAAAACTATTTTAAATTGTTAATTGAAATGAAGTTGAAATAAAATAAAATGTAAATATTAGATGGAAAACTTAAATTTTGAACAAAATGAGCAAATCCAAACAAAAAGTTGCCTTGTCAACTAAGTGAAATAATAAAGTACTAAAATTACTAAAACTGAAATAAAAATAAATGAAAAACTAATAAAAATATTTTAAAAACAAGATAAAAATGCAAAAGCACTTAATAAAATTACTAAAAACTTCAACTAAAATTAAAACAAAGCCTGAAAATATAAAAACAGAAGCTAATTCATAATAATAATAATAATAAATGCTATAATAGTACACAAATAATACTAAAATAAATAACATTGCTTTGGCCAGTTGGTGACAGTTATCACTAAAGTGGTCCTGGATACTCTAGCTGCGTCCCAATTCAAAGGCTGCATCCTTTGAAGGCCACATTCGAAGGGCGATTGCATCACCACAGTGCAGCGAAGACTGTCCTAATTTGAAGGCTCCTTCAAATGCGGCCTCGAAATGCGCCCTTCGTTTTTCAGGCAATGAAGGCTACAACAGATGGACTCTTCGCGGCCTACCCTATCCCAGAATTCATTGCACAACAGTGACGACAGGATTTTTTTGAGAGAAATTTCCAGATTGCACTTTTAAATGCAAGTACTGAGTTCTACTTACTCGAATAATCTAATGTATCTAATGATACAAATGTAAATATATGTATATATGTATACAGCAGTTCAAATGTTGGCTGATATCTTACCAAGATGCAATTTTATATAGTTTATACTCTTTATTATGTACATAAATGGACCATGGTGAACATATTTAAACAGGCTTTGAACCCTGTTTTGTTTTAACTTTCAAAACAGTCCAGTGCAAACGATACTGCCGCTCATCAACAGCAGCTGTCACAGTTGCTAGACACAAGAACAGTCCTCCTCTGTAGGCTAGACCATCCCTCGGTCCAACCTTTGCGGCCTTCAATGGATGCAGCCTTTGAATTGGGACACAGATTCTGTGCTTTGTTGCAGTCATACATAGGTTTCATGTAAATATGTTGTAAAAATTCAGCCTAAGTTCCTGTGTGTGAAATTCATTGATGTGTTTGATTATTTGAGCCAAACTTCTGACCCGTGCAACATAAAACGATTGGTGGTGCACTGTTCCCCAGCCAATGTGCCAAACATTTTATCATGCATTCTAATGCCTGTCAGTGCAAATGCCAAAATAAAAATATAACAGACAGATATGGTACAATAAATGCCTGAGCACATTTAATATTTGACCCCTAAAAAGGTGAAATTATGTCCGGGTTAGGGCTGTCAATATATAGCGGAAAACGAGAGCATCAGTGTGGCGAAGATGTTGTTTACGGCGAAACTGAAAACAAGCCGTTCACACAGAACGCATATTTATCAAATTTTCTAGCGGGGCATCTATCAGCGTTGCACTCGACGCACAAGAGAGCGGCATGTTTAGAAAGCCATGTAAAATTAATGTAAGTTCAACTTTTAAAAAAACATGTCTCAAGACTTTATGGCGGTTTTCCCCCATCCCACTGTATCTCATGTTTTTAAATGAAGAAAGTAGCCTACTCTTTGTGATTGGTTTTCGGTCCTTTGTATTAAACTATACATACATGCATGGTGCTGTTTTTTTTTTCTAATTGTTTAAGCAACTTTATTAATTATATATGGTTTATAAACATTATTTTAAACATTATGCACTTTTTTGAAAGATAGTCGTGTTATTTTATTAAGCTTTGAGGAAACGTGCATAATATTTTGCTCGATGCGCCCTCTTGTGGCCTCAGGAGAGAAGCCAAAAGCTTCTTTTTTTTTTTTCCCTAACTGAAATTGTGCATTTTAAATGCGAAAAAAATTCGAATTTAGTTTTTCAGTCATTTTGACAGCCCTAGTCCAGGTGTTGTATTAATTTAAAATTTTGAGTTAGATTAAAAAAATTGCATGAATGCCGATTTGACTGTTCACACTGATGGGAACATTTGGAACTGAATATGTCAGTTATGGTCTTTACACTGTCATTCAAAAAAACAGATCTGTGCCACATGAGAGTGATTTGGGCCACATTGAGCTGCAGTGTGAACAAAGCTGATTAGACGCTTGATAGGATGCGGAATCAGTGTTGGGGAAAGTTACTTTTAAAAAGTAATGCAATAATGCGTTACTCTATTGTGTTACTTAGTTACTTTTTATGGAAAGTAATGCATTACGTTACTTTTTTGTCACTTGAGCTGGATTTGCTCATTTATTTTTCATAATTAAAAACCCAACTGAACTGTAAAGGCGCTTTCAAACCAGAAGTGAAGTTAATAAGCCTCAGGCTGAAGGAAGTGCCTCTGCAGGAGAGGCGTCAGTCAATAAATGGGAAAACAAAAAGTAACTTGCATTACTTATTTGAAAAAGTAACTCCGATATTTTCTTGTAAATTCAAAAGCAATGCATTACTTACTAGTTACTTGGAAAAAGTAATCTGATTACATAACTTGTAATGCGTTACCCCCAACATTGTGCATAATAACAGCAATAGATGAAGATATAAAAAAACAAAAAAAAACAAGTTACAGGTGTAGATGGAGTAAAGATACAAAAGTTTCTTGTTTCTATTTCAGACAGTACTGAGGGGGTTTGGGTAATGGTGCACCTCATTGATCTAATTGGAATGTAGCTAACTAACTAACTTAATCAATTGGAGCTGAATGCACCCTGGTATTCATTTCTTTCATATTCTCATATATTTTCTTTCTTGCAGTCACTGTTACTGCTTTGAAACTCACAGCTCTTTCATTTTTTGTTCCCCCACTTTGTCCCCCAGCTAGGGGCCCGTAAGATCGTTAAGTCTGCGCTCATAATTTGTTCAGTAGTTCTGATCTACTGCTGCCATGCCAACATGTAACACAAGGCAAGTAAGACAATGCGTTCCTCACACGGATACTCCTCCTGTCAGCAGGGACCCTCCCCTCGCTGTCCTCTCTCTTCCTTCACTCTTTCGGAGCACGAGCATCACTAAAGGGGCTCTGGGTAACCGGGATGGGCTTTTGGAGGAGTGTGAATGGGAAATGTTTGGAAAGGTTGACGCAAATTAAGATCTGTAGTAAGAATATAACAAAGGGGGGAGTAACACAGTGATGTTGGACCGCTTCATGTCTACTGTAGGGCTCATATTGCCTGAATGATTTGAAGTTTGGAAAAAATGACTTCCTGAAACTTTATTTGTAAATGATTTTGAAAAAAGGTTTTACCTTTGCATGCAAAGAAAGGACCTTTCTTTATGCACCTTTCTTACATTATTTAAGTATGTGGTTGTTTTGAGGGGTGGTCACACTAGACTTTGAGCATGCCAAATGTTTCACTGCAATGGATGAAATATGACATCATGCTCTGTGGAGTCTGTTTTTTTTTTAAACACATAAATTCAACAACATCATAAAAAATTTTTTAAAAATCCAATATGTAAAAATGTATAATCTACTCCACTGCCGTAACACTGAAAACCTGCAGCTTTAAAGTTTGCATTCTTTTCTTTCAGCTAAGAGGTTGCGCTGACATGTTCTTTTGGTCACACGTCTTCACGTGATGCAAGTTTGTAAAAACTTCGGTATGCAGCAAAACACAAAACCTTCTCTGCATGAACGTCTGTTTCCAGTGTCTCATATTCACATTCATATGAATGGAAGTCAGTGGAATAAAAAGTGTAGTGTGACGCCCCTTTAGAAACATAGCTCTACTTTTATTGAATAAATGGAGAGCATAAGTCATTTTCATCTTTACATATGTTTACTTGGTGATTATTGTAATGTTGAGATGGACTGGAGTGAAGACCATTAGAATCGTACCCTTCTGCATTCAGAAAAAGAAGGGAACATGAAACTAATAATGTTATGTTTATGTGTTATGAACATGTATCCTGGTGTATGGATGTACTGCAGGTGTAGAGCACAACAGCTGACTTCAGCAGCTTGGTTCCATTTTCTATTAATTTCTCCAGAGGGATTTTACAAAATGTTCTTGCATAAAGTCTAGTTAAAGTATATAAATTCTTAAAATAATTAAATAACATTATACTCATTGCAGGGTAGGGCTGTATTGTTTTGACAAAACCCATTATTTTCGATTATTGCTCTTGATATTGTAATAATGACTGTTAATGTTGATTAATAGAATACATAAAACTTTTTCTGTTTGGAAACCGCATGTCATATTCGAGCTACACAGACAAAACAACTACTAACAACTAACAAAGAACTGTTTATGCATTTTATTACTTTTTGTGAATTACAAAATCAAGACTTCACATTGCTTTTTTTAGTAGTATGAAAAACAAAACACTTATTCAAACTGGGAATAAATTATATACAGAAAGCGAGCAAAGAATGTTCCCCTTCACTGAAGTGGTTCATGACTCTCACTCACTCACTCTCGCAAAAACTCCCATTATAATCACTGAAACTGATTTAGTTTAATTGTGCAGGGGCGTTTTTTGCCTCCTTATCATGAATTTGGGAGGCATTTTGTTCCATTTGGTGGCATTTTTGCCCCGGGCCCATTACTTTCCAACCCTGATTACAACCTTTGAAACCTAAAAGTATGTGTACAAATGTATAAGACTGTGTACATGAGGTCTTCATGAGGGAATGAACTGCTTGTCCCTTGAAGTCATTTATTATAAGTATAAAATATAATGGATTTTAAAGGGATAGTTCACCCAAAAATTAAAATTCTGTCATCATTTACTCACCCTCAAGTTGTTACAAACCTGTATGAGTTTCTTTCATCTGCTAAACAACAGAAAATATTTGAAGACTGTTGGTAGCCATTGACTTCCATATAGTATGGGGAAAAATGCTATGGAAGTCAGTGGCCTGATTACCAACATTCTTCCAAATATCTTCTGTTGTGTTTAGCAGAAGAAAGAAACTCATACAGGTTCATCACAACTTAAAGGGTTAGTTCACCCAAAAATGAAAATTAGTTTGTGTTTTACTCACCCTCGAGGCATCCATGACTTTCTTCTTTCAGACGAATCCAGTCAGAGTTATATAAAAAATCGTCCTGGCTATTCTAAGCTCTATAATTGCTCTTGGTTTATATCGAAATCCTCCGACATTTTTCTTTACAAATCCTCGTTTTGTGCTTCTAATTAGTGACCGGCGTTTTGTTTTGCTCTCTCTCTCTGCATTCTCAACTGCAATGATAGAGCTTGGAATAGCCAGGACAATTTTTAATATAACTCCGACTGGATTCCTCTGAAAGAAGAAAGTCAATATTATATGTATTGAATATTTAATATTTAATGAACATAAGGAGACTGATTCCCTCATTCGTTATGCCTCATGAGAGCAGGCAGTTCTTTTGCTGTGATTTTAGTTCTTTTGCTGTGAGCTGATGAGTAGTGTGCTGTAGCTCTTCACTGTGCATTCGGCAGTTAAACATTTTTTAAATTTGAAAGCCATAATTCAGTGTGATTATGCAGTTTGTATTGTTTATAGTCTGTATTCCTCAGTGAATGAGAAGCGGCTGTTGTGCTCTATTGGACCTGTCGTCTAGTACAGCCCCATCCTGGGTTTAGTGGACATGTAGGGTTTGAGCTGCAGCTGCTGCGGTGTTAACATGCCTGTGCATTTTCCACTGTTGTGCAGGTTAAAGAGCTCCTGACGTCATTCGGTCCTCTCAAAGCCTTCAACCTTGTGAAAGACAGTGCCACATCACTGTCCAAAGGCTATGCTTTCTGTGAATATGTGGATATCAGCGTTACTGATCAAGTAAGTCAATTTAGGTTCAAGTATTAAAGGAACACATAGATGAGTGTATGCTGATTTAAATAAAAAAATAATTATAGCATTTTTTGAATGAATGTAATTAATTAAACACATTACAACATTAAGAATAAAACAACTCCTACAAGTAAAACTACATGCATTACATAGGCTCAGTACTTGGACCACTTCTCTTCTCTGTCTACATGGCATCACTAGGTTCTGTCATTCAGAAACATGGCTTTTCATATCACTGCTATGCTGATGACACTCAACTCTACCTCTTATTCCATCCTGATGATCCGACGATAGCTGCTTGCATCTCAGCTTGTCTAACAGACATTTCTTGTTGGATGACGGACCATCACCTTCAACTCAACCTGGCTAACACAGAACTGCTTGTGGTTTCAACAAACCCATATATATATATATATATATATACACACCTTGCTACATGTACTGTGTTAGGCTAACCGAGACTTGTCATTTGCACTTATATATTGTTGCTCTTTTGTTAGTTTTGACTGGTTTTATTGTCCTCATTTGTAAGTCGCTTTGGATAAAAGCGTCTGCTAAATGACTAAATGTAAATGTAAATGTAAATATTACATGTACCAATAAGTTTGGGAGGAAATGTGCTGAACTTTCATGAATATAATATCACCCCAATCGAGGAAATGTGGCCGTGTATATATTTTTGTGAGATTCACCCGGATAGTTGTACTGTTTTGCTCAGGCGGTAGCTGGATTACATGGCATGCAGCTCGGCGATAAAAAGCTCATCGTCCAGCGGGCAAGTGTGGGTGCCAAGAATGCCAATCCTGTAAGTGCCAGTCTTCAAGACTTCGACACAGTTCTTGTGACAGCCAAGCAGTTATGGCAAAAATCAAGACATTCATGAAAAATGCATTGCTGATTACTTACATGGCCAGCTTCAAGCTATTGATTGAGTCAGAGGTCCACTCTTTCATGCTTTGTTTCCATGCAGACCGCTGTTGTCGAGACGCCCATCACGCTCCAGGTCCCAGGACTGCAGAGGATGCAGAACTCAGGCCTGCCGACGGAGGTGCTCTGTCTGCTGAACATGGTCATGCCGGAGGAGCTGCTGGACGACGAGGACTACGAGGAGATCCTGGAGGACATCCGTGAGGAGTGCTGCAAGTACGGCACTGTGCGCTCTATCGAGATCCCCAGGCCGGTGGATGGTGTCGAGGTGCCAGGCTGTGGGAAGGTCAGTCTCTATAGCTGCAGTGAGGAGCACCACTTTAAACTTCAAAAGTAGGAAATAAATGCCTTCACGGATGAAATGAAGAAAATGTTGAAGAGCAAGCTCTTATCCAATGAGAGGTTATCGTGACCACATGCATCAACTTCCAGAAATGACAAGAAAAACACCATAAAAGTAGTGAATATTACACATACATTGTATTTCAAGTCTTATGAAGTCATATGTTAGATGAAGAGCCCAAAATATTCATCTCAATTCCCTGAAAATCCCCTCTTCTATAGCTCTCAGTTCAAACATGCTGCCATTAGACACATCAAATCACATTTGATGTCAATGATATCATGCATCATTGGCTCTTACTTTTCTTTTGACCAAATATCATTGATATCAAAACTGCTGTAATGCATTTATTTGAAATTATACATTAATTGATCACCATAATTCCCTTGAGAGATACAGAAGATGGGCTTTTAGGGAGCATGACAGCATCTGTCTTCATTTACTTTCATTATATGGAAAAGAGTGGTCCAGGTATTCTTCACTTTTTTGTGTTTTACAAAAGACGTACGCTTTTGGAACCGTTTGAACAGGAGTGACACAATTTACATTTTGAATGAAGTGGTATTTTTATTTTACTACTTTAATTTGCAATTAAAGTAAATAGCCTCGGCTTGAATCATTGTAATTATTCTTAATACAGGGCTATTATAGTAAACTAAACCTAAAACCATAAATAACCATAAATACCATAAATAAAATAAATGTTAACTGAAAAAAAAAAAAAAAACATAATAATAATAATAAAAACTTACACTTATTTTATTTCAGCAAGGCAACATTTCTCATTTTCATTTCATTTAACTTGATGTAATAAAATTACTAAAACTGAGAAAAATAAAACCTATATAGATGTAAATAAATAAAAATGAAAAAAACACAACAAAACTATTAAACTTTAGCTAAAATAAAAATAAAGAATGATTCAAATTTTTAATAAAAACTATAGTAGTTTCTCAGTTATTAAAATAACACTGTCTGCTTAGCCTAGATAATAACTTGTTTTAAACAGAACTCTAAGGCTTGGCTAATAATGGCAGTATTTTTTTTTGCTCTGTTGCAGATATTCGTAGAGTACGTGTCTGCTGCAGAATGCCAGAAGGCCATGCAGGCACTGACAGGACGCAAGTTTGCTAACCGCGTGGTGGTCACGAAATACTACGATCCAGACATGTACCACAGGCACGAGTTCTGAGGGAAGATACTGAGAAGAGAGCTGTTTGTGCCATCTGAGTGTGAAGTTTCAATGAGCTGTATGTAGTTTTACACTTATTGTCTTCTACTTCCACTTATCAATTTCTTTTCCATATTGAAATACAAAAAAAATTGACGTAAGTATCCAAGTAGGAGATATTTTTAGACATCTAATATCAACGAAACAGTGTCAAGCGATCTCTTCTATGTTAAGGGGCGTTCATACATGCAGTGATTTACACTAATGAAGTGACCAGAAGTTAGACTTTTTTAAATAAGAATTGGTAATTTCCAGAAGCAAGCAGGTAACAGGCAGTGTGACCTAATGTGATGTGATGCAGGCATGTTCCTCTGGATCCATGTGAACCTCCTGCAGTTCATTCACGAACCCCACTTTGGGAAACCCTGGCATACTGTAATGTTTAATACACATCATGGAATAGATTTTCTTATGAGTTAGGGCAAATGTAATCTAAAAGTAATCAAAAAGTCGTCAGAATACGTTACCTAATATTTATAATCCAATAGATTACATTACAAACTACTCTTTCTATACAAATTACATACCCCTCTAAAAATTACTAAATGTCAGTTTATACTGACATCTTATTTTTAACTAGCAATTTCCATCACAATCAAATCTCATTTGAGATCACATTTTAAGCAGGATTATGACCACAAATACTGCCACTCGATGACCTCCAGTGATGAAATCACTATGTATTTTTTTTTATTATTGTCCTAGGCAGCTGCAACCATCAGCAGCAATATAAGACTAAACATTTTGTTAGCCCCGCCCACAGTGAAATCTCATTGGTCCAAAATCCTGCTGCTTAGAACAAATCAAGTTTGTTCTAATCGGGTGTGATGTTGGAGATTTCTGAGGACTGAAATATTACTTGACACCTGAAAACACCTTGTCATGTTGTAGAATTGGTAATTTCCAGAAGCAAGCAGGTAACAGGCAGTGTGACCTAATGTGATGTGATGCAGGCATGTTCCTCTGGATCCATGTGAACCTCCTGCAGTTCATTCACGAACCCCACTTTGGGAAACCCTGGCATACTGTAATGTTTAATACACATCATGGAATAGATTTTCTTATGAGTTAGGGCAAATGTAATCTAAAAGTAATCAAAAAGTCGTCAGAATACGTTACCTAATATTTATAATCCAATAGATTACATTACAAACTACTCTTTCTATACAAATTACATACCCCTCTAAAAATTACTAAATGTCAGTTTATACTGACATCTTATTTTTAACTAGCAATTTCCATCACAATCAAATCTCATTTGAGATCACATTTTAAGCAGGATTATGACCACAAATACTGCCACTCGATGACCTCCAGTGATGAAATCACTATGTATTTTTTTTTATTATTGTCCTAGGCAGCTGCAACCATCAGCAGCATTATATGACTAAACATTTTGTTAGCCCCGCCCACAGTGAAATCTCATTGGTCCAAAATCCTGCTTCTTAGAACAAATCAAGTTTGTTCTAATCGGGTGTGATGTTGGAGATTTCTGAGGACTGAAATATTACTTGACACCTGAAAACGCCTTGTCATGTTGTGCCTAGTTAGAACAAAGAATATTAAAATAGAACTTAATGCTCAGATTAGATATTGTTTTGTGTCCTTATATTAATCTGAACCAGAATTCTAGCCGGTGTTCGAAACCTCAAATGACACTGAACAGTGAACAACACTGAAAACATCATTCACAAAGACTTCTGTTTAATTCTGAAACATTACATGCTTTTGAAAATAGACAGTGACTGATATTTATTATAACAAAGCTTCTGCTTCATACCAGTGATAGCCTATTAATGTTTTTATGAGGATCAGTCTCACAAAATATGTCGTATTGCATCCCAAAATCAAAACAAATAAATATATATTTCATAAAGTAAACTAATTGTTTTTTTGGACCATTAAGGTTTTTGCATTGCAGTTTTTATTATTTAATGTGTCCAGAGATTTTTTTTTGTCCTTTGCAATTCTAATTATTCCCAATGGTGGTTCTCAGAGGCCCATTACTATATTACTGTACTTTTTTATAATTAGATTATTGTATTTCTTTGCACATTATGCTGAGAATGAGATTTTTTTCCAAAGGTAATGAGAATTGAGGGTGAAAATGTGCTATTATCATGAAAATAATGCCACAATGCCAAAAATAAGCTTTTTTGTTTTGTGTTTTTCTAATATAATGTATTTCTTTATTTTATTTTTGGGCTGTAAACTGATCCAGATTTCATGAAATCCACCTAAACATTGTTGGTAGTTTTGAAATACTGCTAATAGATGTAGTATATAAATCCTGCATATTTGCACATGTGTTTCCTCTGTATATACTTACAGTTTGATGAAGGAAATTTTCAGTCATGTTTCAAGATTCTTAAAAACAGCATCGGGTGCTTTGGACAGCTGCTCCTGCTAGAATGCATTTGTTCTCATTGGTGAACTGCAAAAAGGCTAGTATTTCTTCAAAGATGTCAGAACAGATTCCATTTGACAAGAAAACACAGCCTGCTTCTCCCTGCCATGAAGAAAGCAAAAGCCCTGACAGAAATACTTACAGCATCTGGACAAAGATGGTTTGACACAGCAGAAATTCTGTTCTAAGTTTTCTCTCTTATTTCTTATTCTTAAGAAGCCAATGTGTCAGATGATGACTTATACATACCCATCATTTCACGTTCAGCTAAAATGTGCTTAAATAGCTCCGTTTCTATGGCTAGTGCTGCCTCTGCCTTGACTTCAATAAATGACATGATCTTTAGTGCTGTCTGTTACTCTGTTGTCCTTGCAGGATGTTTCTAATCCTGCTCCACTCACATATTCTGGTCTGGAACGCTGTGAACACAGACAAACGGAGTGAAATATCCCAGTGCCGTTGGACTAAATATCAGCACTGTTGGAAGGCTAATCAGCCAATGGCATCAAGAACTGGAACTAACTGCAGTATAATGAATATTATTCTATACAAATATTGAAATAATACCAACAGTGAGTGTGTGCTTGCTCACACAGGACTTCCATAGAGAGCTAATGCCTGGAAATGTGGCAGGCGACAACAGTTGCTAAGGACGTATTGGCAGTCTGGTCAATCCATCTACTGCAGTGAGTAAAGGTTGTTGCTCTCCATGGTGCTGAACTCCAATTAAGGTTGGAATGCACTATATAACTTTTCAATTAGGAACAGATTTTAAACCAGTAGGCATCATACACTAACCGACTCATGTTACTTACTGTAAATGGTTACAGAGAAAAACTGGACATCTTACACTAAATGACAGAGGATCACACACTATTAGACTTTCAAGTTCTTCCAAACACAGCAAACTCATGCAGAAACGTGTGCCACATCGCTAGGAGATGCATGATAATGAAAAACAATTTGCTGCATCCAAAATTGAATACTTCCCTACTTGTATAGCATGCCAAAAAAAAAGTACGCCAAAAGAGTAGCATGTTCAAAGTCATAGTATTTAAAAAACAGTAGGTGAAAAATACCCGGATGACCCACTACTTCTAATGGGTTTCTGAAGTGTGCATTCGATGGCCACTTCACTATCCCATGAGGCCATGGCAGAGGATTTATGAATGGTGATACAACTGAGTCACATGACAGTAACAATATGGCGGATGTAGTACGTCAGAATTTCATTCATACTACCCACATGCATACTATATAGAACATAGTTTTTACACAAGAACATGCTTTTTTAGTTTGCTAAGTAAGTTCAAATTCAAATGTAATACCTACTCAGACTTCTAAAATCGTCTCAAAATATCAGACGTCAGAAGCAAAAAGATTGGAGTTGTGTCCATCAAACATATGCAATTTTATATTATTTTGTCAACTCAAAATCTGCAGACTAGCATTGACTTACTTCAACTAGTGTCAACTCACTCAGACTAAAAAAACTAAAGGCTGGAATACACTACTTAACTTTTGCCCAGATCTTTGCTCTGATTTACAGTCTGAACAAGTTGACGCTAGTTGGCAAAAGTCAGAGCTAGTCTGTAGATTTGAGCTGACAGACTTCACAAATGGTCACAGACTCAGATTGTTTAGCTTCAGACTGTGATTCCATCCAGTTGGAAGATTTCAAATATTTTTGATATTTTGAGCCGATATTTAAAACAATTTTTCTCATTTGTCATGCATCTCCCAACAACAAGGCACGTGTTTCTGCATGAGTTTGTTGTGATCGGAACAACTTTAAAGTCTGTGTAGTGTAGTACATGATCCTCAGTTGTTTAGTGTATGATGCCCAGTGTTTCCTCTGTAACTATTTACAAAGTCGGCAAGTGTATAATGCCTAGAGTTGCGAAATCTGTTCAGATTGCAGCCTTAAGCAAAAGCTGTGTAGTGGTTCGTGTCTTTACCTTCCCAGCTGAAGTGAGATTATTAAATAGATTAAAATATATTTTACATAGGTCAAATCTATAATGCCTATTCACACTGGTGTGTTTGTTTGATCATTGCAAAAAGAAATAGCATTATTATGATTTATAATCTTTCACTGAGGCTCATCCTGCAGTGTTTTATTCTAGCAGAAGGTGGCTGCCCACTCTACCAGTCGCAGTTTTTGTCCCTTGTTTCACTGTGCTGCACCTCTCACTGTGTCACAATATGCTGTTCAAAGGTTTGTCTCTCTTTACAGCACAGTAGGTCAGCTGCTCTGGCATTCCAATACCAAACCTGTCAGCGGCAGATGGCCGGCGTAGCTCAGACATTTTCACAAATGTCAAAGCATTCAGAATTTATGTATTGAAGTCAAGTCACATTTATTTAGTGCTTTATGCAACACACATTGATTCAAAGCAGCTTTGCGGTAATAAACAGGAAAATAAGTTGATGTTGCAATATTCATCGACTATGAAACATTCCATTTCAGCTGTCAAGCAGCTCAACAGAAGACAGTAGTGTCATTATTCAGCTCAATTTAGTTCAGTGTTAATTAATTTCAGTTCAATAACTGTGTCACTGTTGCAAAGTTCATCAGTTATGAAACAAATCCAATTCAGCTATAAGCAGCTCTGCAGAAGACAATAGTGTCAATAATCCGCTCAATTTAGATTTGAAACAAGAAAATAAAAATACATAGAAGCTGTTTTGGTTCATTTGTAAATGAATAGTTCATCCAAACGTGACAATCATCTTCCTCACTCACATGTTTTTCTAAACTCATATGACTTACTTTCACCCATGGAACACAGAAGATAATTAGGCACAATGTTTATGCCGAGTAAAATCAAGAGTA